AGACGTTGGCTTTTATTCTGAGTGACACAGGAAGCCACTGGAGTGTTCTGAGTAGAGGAGTGTTAGACGTTGGCTTTTATTCTGAGTGACACAGGAAGCCACTGGAGTGTTTTGAGTAGAGGAGTGTTATTATCTGCCCAATAATATAATAGATCATTTGGCTTTTGTGTGGAGAAGAGAGGAAGAAGGCAAAGGTAGAAACAGGCTATTTGCAAAGACCAGGCAAGAAATGAGGGTGACTTCATTTGAAGGGACTATAGGTTGAAGTGACCAGAGGAGCGAGAAGTGATTGCATTCTGCATTTGTTTCAAAAATACGGATTAAATGGAGGATGTGGGAGAAAGAAAGAAGTGAAAGATGATTTTCTGGTTTTTGGCCTGGGTAACCAACTAGAAGCAGAGAGTTGCCATTTACTGTGATGGTGAAGACTGCAGGATGAATAAGATTTTGGAGGAAAAAATCAACAGTTTGATATTGAACGTGTTAAGATAAAGATGTCTGTTAGGTATCCAAGTGAGGAAATTGAGTAGTCAGTTGGATGTTTTCTTCTGTGGTCCAGAGATAAAAATGTGGGAGTCCTCAGGGCCTAAATGATATTTAAAGCCATGGGAACAAATAAAGTCACCTAGGCAGGAAAAGAGTATTGATACAGAAGAGGACCAGCATTGAGTCCTAGTCCTCCAGTGTTTAGGGAAGATGAGCGAGACCAAGCAAAGAAGACTTAAACGGGCTGCTCAGCAATTTAAGTGAAGAACCAAGAAAGTTGTGTCTCAGAGGCCAAGGGAAGAATAGATTTCATAGTGGGTATAAGCTACTATAAGAACTGTGTCAGATGTTGTCAAGAGGATGAAGATTCTATGAAGCAATTCACTCTCTTCTACTTACACATAGAAGAGGAAAACTTTTCCTGATAAAAAGGAAACTTTAGCTGGGTGCAGTGGCTCCACGCCTGTCATCTCAGGACTTTGGGAGGCTGAGAAGGGCGGATCATGAGGTCAAGAGATCAAGACCATCCTGGCCAATGTGGTGAAACCCTGTCTCTACTAAAAATCCAAAAATTAGCTGGGCATGGTGGCACACGCCTGTAGTCCAGCTACTCAGGAGGCTGAGGCAGGAGAATCGCTTGAACCCAGGAGGCGGAGGTTGCAGTGAGCTGAGATCGCACCACTGCACTCCAGCTTG